AGGCAGACCCTTGTACAGATATCTATGCGTGCCGCAGGCAGACCCTAGCACAGATATCTATGTGTGCCGGAGGCAGACCCTAGCACAGATATCTGTGCGTGCCGCAGGCAGACCCTAGCACAGATATCTATGCGTGCCGCAGGCAGACCCTAGCACAGATATCTGTGCGTGCCGCAGGCAGACCCTTGTACAGATATCTATGCGTGCCGCAGGCAGACCCTAGCACAGATATCTGTGCGTGCCGCAGGCAGACCCTTGTACAGATATCTATGCGTGCCGCAGGCAGACCCTAGCACAGATATCTATGCGTGCCGCAGGCAGACCCTAGCACAGATATCTGTGCGTGCCGCAGGCAGACCCTAGCACAGATATCTATGCGTGCCGCAGGCAGACCCTAGCACAGATATCTGTGCGTGCCGCAGGCAGACCCTTGTACAGATATCTATGCGTGCCGCAGGCAGACCCTAGCACAGATATCTATGCGTGCCGCAGGCAGACCCTAGCACAGATATCTATGCGTGCCGCAGGCAGACCCTAGCACAGATATCTATGCGTGCCGCAGGCAGACCCTTGTACAGATATCTATGCGTGCCGCAGGCAGACCCTTGTACAGATATCTATGCGTGCCGCAGGCAGACCCTAGCACAGATATCTATGCGTGCCGCAGGCAGACCCTAGCACAGATATCTGTGCGTGCCGCAGGCAGACCCTAGCACAGATATCTATGCGTGCCGCAGGCAGACCCTAGCACAGATATCTGTGCGTGCCGCAGGCAGACCCTTGTACAGATATCTATGCGTGCCGCAGGCAGACCCTAGCACAGATATCTATGCGTGCCGCAGGCAGACCCTAGCACATATATCTGCTTTCAAGTGTAGCTAGCAAATAACCAAAGACGATGATTTAATTAAATACCGATGAACAAAAATATTTACTTTTGGGAATAAGCTCATTTCAAGCTGACTGTTGCTAGGTTACGAAAAAATACAACTCAAAATTGCTGGCTTAGACATACAAAAAACAATGAGCTGAGAAATCAATCAGGGTTGTAAAGACTGCAACACGTTCCAATCAGAGAGAAAAGAGAGACTAGACACTGGGTATAAACTAGACGCCAGCTACTTGGGCGCCTCTCTGTGACGTCACAAATCAGTCCGAAAGCTTTATAAGGACGAGAGAGATTCTTCCAGAATTATAAGAAATGAAGCCGTTCCCTCGTGGGATGCATTTTTTAAGCACTTCTCTGGCTGCTGCCGGGGACCCTGAGTATAACCGAGCCGTAAATATGGCCTAGGCTACAGATGTAGCCTCACGACTGAAAGGGGTTTATGGGATCTTTCCGCAGGTGATTCTCTCCCGCGTGGTGGCACTTTGTGTCACCGGGTATCTATTGCTGGTGATGAGCTGGTGGGGCACAACTACCTACCTAAATACCTCCCGGAAAATCTTCGTCGATCCTCCTGTGGCATGCAATTATTTGTTATTTTGAAGCCCCACCCTGACTGTTGCCGGGGGCCTGTCATATAGCTTGACGGTTGAACGCGGTTTCCGGGACCTCTGCCCGGATGATTCTCTTCCCCGTGGTGGCACTTTGTGTCACCGGGTGTTTATCGCTCTGTGTAATGTCCTGGTGGCACTTTGTGTCAACGGGTGTTTATCGCTCTGTGTAATGTCCTGGTGGCACTTTGTGTCAACGGGTGTTTATCGCTCTGTGTAATGTCCTGGTGGCACTTTGTATCACTGGGTGTTTATCGCTTGTGTGATGTCCTAGTGGCACTTTGTGTCACCGGGTGTTTATCGCTTGTGTGATGTCCTGGTTGTACTTTATGTCACTTAGTGTTTATCACTCTGTGTGATGTCCTGGTTGCACTTTGTGTCACCGGGTGTTTATCGCTTGTGTGATGTCCTAGTGACACTTTGTGTCACCGGGTGTTTATCGCTTGTGTGATGTCCTAGTGGCACTTTGTGTCACCGGGTGTTTATCGCTTGTGTGATGTCCTAGTGGCACTTTGTGATAACAGGTGTATATCGCTTGTGTGATGTCCTAGTGGCACTTTGTGACACCTGGTGTTTATCGCTTGTGTGATGTCCTGGTGGGGTAACAATTTATTCACTTCTACAGGAACACAGTGGGTTAACGGATTCATTTCTGGACAGTGTAGTCAATTCAGGACACGACTGTGACATGACAGACTGTTGTGCATGGCTGTGACATGGATCTGACATGACAGACTGTTGGACATGGCTTTGACATGACAGACTGTTGGACATGGATGTGACATGACAGACTGTTGGACAAATACGACGAGGAAAGATGTTAAATCACTGATGATAATGCTGTGTACGGCACATTTAGAAAACACTACAGGAAACCATACAACGATGAGGGAGTCTAACATACATACATACATACATACATACATACATACATACATACATACATACATACATACATACATACATACATACATACATACATACATACATACATACATACATACATACATACATACATACATACATACGTACATACGTACATACATACATACATACATAAATACATACATACATACATACATACATACATACGTACATACGTACATACGTACATACGTACATACATACATACATACATACATACATACATACATACATACATACATACATACATACATACATACATACATACATACATACATACATACATACATACATACATACATACATACATACATACATACATACATACATACATACATACATACATACATACATACATACATACATACATACATACATACATACATACATACATACATACATACATACATACATACATACATACATACATACATACATACATACATACATACATACATACATACATACATACATACATACATACATACATACATACATACATACATACATACATACATACATACATACATACATACATACATACATACATACATACATACATACATACATACATACATACATACATACATACATACACACACACACACACACACACACACACACACACACACACACACACACACACACACACACATACATACATACATACATACATACATACATACATACATACATACATACATACATACATACATACATACATACATACATACATACATACATACATACATACATACATACATACATACATACATACATACATACATACATACATACATACATACATACATACATACATACATACATACATACATACATACATACATACATACATACATACATACATACATACATACATACATACATACATACATACATACATACATACATACATACATACATACATACATACATACATACATACATACATACATACATACATACATACATACATACATACATACATACATACATACATACATACATACATACATACATACATACATACATACATACATACATACATACATACATACATACATACATACATACATACATACATACATACATACATACATACATACATACATACATACATACATACATACATACATACATACATACATACATACATACATACATACATACATACATACATACATACATACATACATACATACATACATACATACATACATACATACATACATACATACAGGCAGGCAGGCAGGCAGGCAGGCAGGCAGGCAGACAGACAGACAGACAGACAGACAGGCAGGCAGACAGACAGACAGACAGACAGACAGACAGACAGACAGACAGACAGACAGACAGACAGACAGACAGAACGAACGAACGAACTTTGTTTTTTTTTCAAAGGGTCACAAATTGGGCACGCAGGCGCGTCTTACATTCGGCCCTTCCAGTCAACCATCTTTCGCACAGCAGTTGTATTTTCACTAATAAAGCATGTTATGATCATATGATAATATGCATATTATGAATATTATAAAAGAACACAAAAGCATGAGTTGTAAAGTGCATGCAAAAACCCGCGCGTGCATACATACACCCACATACACACGATCACCCACTCACACACACATACATGCATGCAAACATTACATACATAAAAACAAACATCAAACAGGCATACACATAGGCATATATACATTCAAACAAACATACATAGATGCAAACATACAGGCATACATGCATACATACATTCGTAATACAGGCATACACACATACAAACATGCAGTCATAAATACAGTCATGCATGGAGACACTCCCACAAAGACGCACACGCTCACTTAGACAAAAATACAGACACACACTCTTACATATAAACACACACAGGAAAACACACAGCACACATATTTACATTCGTGCTCACACACTTACACACACACCACACACACACACGCAGACAAACATGCAGACACATACATACAGCCACATAGACACACACACAAATACAAACAGGGAGACAAACACATTCTGACACCCACACAGACAAACATGCAGAAATGCATACACATACAAACACATAGAAATACACACGCAGACACATATATTCAGCACGCACAGACATATACTCTGACATGCAGACACATACAGACAACAAAGGGGCACACACAACACACACAGAGAAACACACAGAGAAACACACATAGATATACACAGACAGACAGACACATGCTGACACATACACTCACGCAGACAGACATACACACACCCACACACACAGATACATACATACAGCCTAATAGACACACCCGCAGACAAAACACATAAACATACACAGGCAAACATGCAGACGAACACATACGAGGACACCCACAGACACAAACGAAGATATACACAGTCACATGAAATATGCAGAAAAACACCGAGACACAGACAGACAGACAGACAGACAGACAGACAGACAGACAGACAGACAGACAGACAGACAGACAGACAGACAGACAGACAGACAGACAGACAGACAGACAGACAGGCAGGCAGGCAGGCAGACAGACAGACAGACAGACATATGTCTACCTTTATTGCAGCTGGTCATGCATGGCCTAGAAGGAGGAGTTTACTACCTCGATCCCTTGTTGGCCTTCGCCCATCGTTCAGACCTGATATTCCTCAAGAGTGTCAGTGGGCTGATTCCTCGACGTGAGGTGCCTGACGTACTTCTAGAAAATGGCGACTTCACCCCGGATAGAATCCGAAGATATATATTGCACCGTACGAATAACAAAATCGACGTGCAGGTGGCCCCAGGTTTGTCAGTTTGTCTGTATATCTATGTGTCAGTTTGTCTGTATATCTATGTGTCAGTTTGTCTGTATATCTATGTGTCAGTTTGTCTGTATATCTATGTGTCAGTTTGTCTGTATATCTATGTGTCAGTTTGTCTGTATATCTATGTGTCAGTTTGTCTGTATATCTATGTGTCAGTTTGTCTGTATATCTATGTGTCTGTATATCTATGTGTCTGTATGTCTATGTGTCTGTATGTCTATGTGTCTGTATGTCTATGTGTCTGTATGTCTATGTGTCTGTATGTCTATGTGTCTGTATGTCTATGTGTCTGTATGTCTATGTGTCTGTATGTCTATGTGTCTGTATGTCTGTCTGTCTGTATGTCTGTATGTCTGTATGTCTGTCTGTCTGTATGTCTGTCTGTCTGTACGTCTGTATGTATGTTTTGCCTGTGCACACATTTGTGTCTTTGTGTCTGTTTGCATGCCTGTCAGTATGTCTGCATGTCTGTTTACATGCCTGTCAATATGTCTGCATGTCTGTTTACATGCCTGTCAGTATGTCTGCATGTCTGTTTACATGCCTGTCAATATGTCTGCATGTCTGTTTACATGCCTGTCAGTATGTCTGCATGTCTGTTTACATGCCTGTCAATATGTCTGCATGTCTGTTTACATGCCTGTCAGTATGTCTGCATGTCTGTTTACATGCCTGTCAGTATGTCTGCAGGTCTGTTTACATGCCTGTCAGTATGTCTGCAGGTCTGTTTGCATGCCTGTCAGTATGTCTGCAGGTCTGTTTACATGCCTGTCAGTATGTCTGCATGTCTGTTTACATGCCTGTCAGTATGTCTGCATGTCTGTTTACATGCCTGCCAGTATGTCTGCATGTCTGTTTACATGCCTGTCAGTATGTCTGCATGTCTGTTTACATGCCTGTCAGTATGTCCGCATGTCTGTTTACATGCCTGTCAATATGTCTGCATGTCTGTTTACATGCCTGTCAGTATGTCTGCATGTCTGTTTACATGCCTGTCAGTATGTCTGCAGGTCTGTTTACATGCCTGTCAGTATGTCTGCAGGTCTGTTTACATGCCTGTCAGTATGTCTGCAGGTCTGTTTGCATGCCTGTCAGTATGTCTGCATGTCTGTTTACATGCCTGTCAGTATGTCTGCAGGTCTGTTTGCATGCCTGTCAGTATGTCTGCAGGTCTGTTTGCATGCCTGTCAGTATGTCTGCAGGTCTGTTTGCATGCCTGTCAATATGTCTGCAGGTCTGTTTGCATGCCTGTCAGTATGTCTGCAGGTCTGTTTACATGCCTGTCAGTATGTCTGCAGGTCTGTTTGCATGCCTGTCAGTATGTCTGCAGGTCTGTTTGCATGCCTGTCAGTATGTCTGCAGGTCTGTTTGCATGCCTGTCAATATGTCTGCAGGTCTGTTTGCATGCCTGTCAGTATGTCTGCAGGTCTGTTTGCATGCCTGTCAGTATGTCTGCAGGTCTGTTTGCATGCCTGTCAGTATGTCTGCAGGTCTGTTTGCATGCCTGTCAGTATGTCTGCAGGTCTGTTTGCATGCCTGTCAGTATGTCTGCAGGTCTGTTTGCATGCCTGTCAGTATGTCTGCAGGTCTGTTTGCATGCCTGTCAGTATGTCTGCAGGTCTGTTTGCATGCCTGTCAGTATGTCTGCAGGTCTGTATGTCTGCAGGTCTGTATGTCTGCAGGTCTGTATGTCTGCAGGTCTGTATGTCTGCAGGTCTGTTTGCATGCCTTTCAGTATGTCTGCAGGTCTGTTTGCATGCCTGTCAGTATGTCTGCAGGTCTGTATGTCTGCAGGTCTGTATGTCTGCAGGCCTGTATGTCTGCAGGTCTGTATGTCTGCAGGTCTGTATGTCTGCAGGTCTGCATGTCTGCAGGTCTGTATGTCTGCAGGTCTGTATGTCTGCAGGTCTGCATGTCTGCAGGTCTGTCAGCGATGATTCTACCTCGAGTTACGAGAGATGCATTTTGCGTTGTTGATTTTATAACCACAAATATAATAACAACAAACCAAATGGTTTGGCCATGTGACAAGATTAGAAGCAGGCATTGCACCACAGAGAGAAATGTTACACAAATACAGTGGTAACTGACCCAGAGGTCGACAACGCAGATAGTGGACCGCAGAAATATCAGACACCGTAAAGTATCATAAACGAAGCGAACAGAAGGGCCCGTTCTAGAGATATCTTCCTGCCCTGACGCCGCGAGACATTCTAGAAGTAGAGAAATAAAAAAGAAGAAGAAGATTTTACAACCCTTCCTTATTTGCGATGTGTCTGTTGTTGATGCTATAAACCTACCTTATTTGCGATGTATCTGTTGTTGATGCTATAAACCTACCTTATTTGCGATGTATCTGTTGTTGATGCTATAAACCTTTTTATTTGCGTTGTGTCTGTTCTTGATTCTATTAACCTACCTTATTTGCGATGTATTTGTTGTTGATGCTATAAACCTACCTTTTTTGCGATGTGTCTGTTGTTGATTCTATTAACCTACCTTATTTGCGATGTGTCTGTTGTTGATTCTATTAACCTACCTTATTTGCGATGTATCTGTTGTTGATTCTATTAACCTATCTTATTTGCGTTGTATCTGTTGTTGATGCTATAAACCTACCTTATTTGCGATGTATCTGTTATTGATGCTATAAACCTACCTTATTTGCGATGTATCTGTTGTTGATGCTATAAACCTTTTTATTTGCGTTGTGTCTGTTCTTGATTCTATTAACCTACCTTATTTGCGATGTATTTGTTGTTGATGCTATAAACCTACCTTATTTGCGATGTGTCTGTTGTTGATTCTATTAACCTACCTTATTTGCGATGTGTCTGTTGTTGATTCTATTAACCTACCTTATTTGCGATGTATCTGTTGTTGATTCTATTAACCTATCTTATTTGCGGTGTATCTGTTGTTGATGCTATAAACCTACCTTATTTGCGATGTGTCTGTTGTGGATTCTAAAACCATACCATATTTGCGATGTGTCTGTTGTTGATTCTTTAACCTTGCCTTATTTGCGATGTCTATGCTGTGTAGCTGATGAAACAGGTGTGTTCCAGCTGTTTTCTGGTAGCTGTGATTAACTTTGTGTTTCTCCCTTTGTCTGCAGACTCGCTGAAGCCAGACACAATTCTTGTGGTCAGCACCATGGTGGTTCAGGCAGAATGGCAGACGCTCTTCTATCAACAAAGAACCTACCAACATCCCTTTCAGAGCCTCAAAGAACATGGTTACCTCGAGGCAAAGGTGACTGTCAGGGGGACATGTTGTTTGCCAGGTTGATATATCTGTTTGCCAGGTTGACATGTTGTTTGCCAGACTGACATGTTGTTTGCCAGACTGACATGATGTTTGCAAGATTGACATGTTGTGTGCGAGATTGACATTATGTTTGCCAGATTGACTTGTTATTGCCAGGCTGACTTGATATTGCCAGGTTGACTTATTATTGCCAGGTTGACTTGTTATTGCCAGATTGACTTGTTATTGCCAGGTTGACTTGATATTGCCAGGCTGACATTTTTTTTTTAGATTGACATGATGCTTACCAGATTGGCATGTTTGTTTCCCAGGTTGACATGGTATTTGCCAGTTTGACACGATGTTTACCAGGCTGATATCATGCTTTCCAGTTTTACACATGTGTGCCGGGTTTACACGATGTGTGCTAGTTTGACATGACGTTTGCCAGGTTGAACGATATTTGCCAGGTTTACATGAAGTTTGCCAGGTTAAGACAATGTTTGCTAGGTTTACACGAGGTTTTCCAGGTTGACACTATGTTAACCAGGTTGACAGTGTGATTATTTGCCATGTTGATATGTTATTTGCCAGGTTAACATGCTGTTTGCCATTTTGACATGTTATTTGCCAGGTTGACATGTTATTTGCCAGGTTAACATGTTATTTGCCAGGTTGACTAGTTATTGCCAGGTTGACTTGTTATTGCCAGGATGACTTGTTATTGCCAGGCTGACTTGTTATTGCCACGTTGACTTGTTATTTCCAGGTTGACTAGTTATTGCCAGGATGACTTATTATTGCCAGGCTGACTTGTTATTGCCAGGTTGACTTGTTATTGCCAGGCTGACTTGATATTGCCATGTTGACTTATTATTGCCAGGTTGACTTGTTATTGCCAGGTTGACTTGTTATTGCCAGGTTGACTTGATATTGCCAGGCTGACATTTTTTTTTCTTCAGATTGACATGATGCTTACCAGATTGGCATGTTTGTTTCCCAGGTTGACATGATATTTGCCAGTTTGACACGATGTTTACCAGGCTGATATCATGCTTTCCAGTTTTACACATGTGTGCCGGGTTTACACGATGTGTGCTAGTTTGACATGACGTTTGCCAGGTTGAACGATGTTTGCCAGGTTTACATGAAGTTTGCCAGGTTGAGACAATGTTTGCTAGGTTTACACGAGGTTTTCCAGTTTGACACTATGTTAACCAGGTTGACAGTGTGATTATTTGCCATGTTGACATGTTATTTGCCAGGTTGACATGCTGTTTGCCATTTTGACATGTTATTTGCCAGGTTGACATGTTATTTGCCAGGTTGACATGTTATTTGCCAGGTTGACATGTTATTTGACAGGTTGACATGTTATTTGCCAGGTGAACATGTTATTTGCCAGGTTGACATGTTATTTGCCAGGTTGAAAGGTTATTTGCCAGGTTGACATGTTTTTGCCAGGTTGACATGTTATTTGCTAGGTTGACATGTTATTTGCTAGGTTGACATGTTATTTGCCAGGTTGACATGTTTTTTGCCAGGTTGACATGTTTTTTGCCAGGTTGACATGTTATTTGACAGGTTGACATGTTATTTGCCAGGTTAACATGTTATTTGCCAGGTTGACATGTTATTTGCCAGGTTGACATGTTATTTGCTAAGTTGACATGTTATTTGCCCGGTTGACATGTTATTTGCCAGGTTGACATGTTATTTGCCAGGTTGACATGTTATTTGTCAGGTTGACTTGTTATTTGCCAGGTTGACATGTTATTTGCCAGGTTGACATGTTATTTGCTAGGTTGACATGTTATTTGCTAGGTTGACATGTTATTTGCCAGGTTGACATGTTTTTTGCCAGGTTGACATGTTTTTTTGTCAGGTTGACATGATATTTGCCAGGTTGACATGTTATTTGCCAGGTTGACATGTTATTTGCCAGGTTGACATGTTATTTGCCAGGTTGACATGTTATTTGCCAGGTTGACATGTTTTTTGCCAGGTTGACATGTTATTTGCCAGGTTGACATGTTATTTGCCAGGTTGACATGTTATTTGTAAGGTTGACATGTTATTTGCCAGGTTGACATGTTATTTGCCAGGTTGACATGTTATTTGCCAGGTTGACATGTTATTTGTCAGGTTGACATGTTATTTGCCAGGTTGACATGTTATTTGCCAGGTTGACATGATGACTGATGTGAGAATAGTGCCCTGGAAGCAGGACCACCAGCTGGGTGTAACTGTGGCGGCGCTTCCACTCAAGGACAAGGACCTGTTGTTCATCATCGTCCTGCCCCTCGGCAGTCATGGCTTCGCCGACGTCGGTAGGTGTTCTCACACAAGTGTGTCTCATGTCAATGTATCTGTGGTATATTGATCCTGTTAGTTGATTAGTTCTGCCTCCATCTCCAACAGCTCAGTCCATACGTGCTCAGATCCCCTCCTCAGTAAATCCCACAGTGTGTAGCGGCTGACGTCACCGGTTCTGTGTTGGTTTATTCCTCTTTTTTAGCGTCCCGCTTTGCTTTCTCCTCTGACCTCCCTTCTCTTCTCCTGTTGTCTTGCTTTCTCCTCTGACCTCCCTTCTCTTCTCCTGTTGTCTTGCTTTCTCCTCTGACCTCCCTTCTCTTCTCCTGTTGTCTTGTTCTCTCCTCTGACCTCCCTTCTCTTCTCCTGTTGTCTTGTTTTCTCCTCTGACCTCCCTTCTCTTCTCCTGTTGTCTTGTTTTCTCCTCTGACCTCACTTCTCTTCTCTTGTTGTCTTGTTTTCTCCTCTGATCTCACTTCTCTTCTCTTGTTGTCTTGTTTTCTCTTCTGATCTCACTTCTCTTCTCTTGTTGTCTTGTTTTCTCTTCTGACCTCACTTCTCTTCTCTTGTTGTCTTGTTTTCTCTTCTGACCTCACTTCTCTTCTCCTGTTGTCTTGTTTTCTCCTCTGACCTCCTTTCTCTTCTCCTGTTGTTTTGTTTTCTCCTCTGACCTCCTTTCTCTTCTCCTGTTGTTTTGTTTTCTCCTCTGACCTCCTTTCTCTTCTCCTGTTGTTTTGTTTTCTCCTCTGACCTCACTTCTCTTCTCCTGTTGTCTTGTTTTCTCCTCTGAACTCACTTCTCTTCTCTTGTTCTCTTGTTTTCTCTTCTGACCTCCCTTCTCTTCTCCTGTTGTCTTGTTTTCTCCTCTGACCTCCCTTCTCTTCTCCTGTTGTCTTGTTTTCTCCTCTGACCTCACTTCTCTTCTCCTGTTGTCTTGTTTTCTCCTCTGACCTCACTTCTCTTCTCTTGTTGTCTTGTTTTCTACTCTGACCTCACTTCTCTTCTCCTGTTGTCCTGTTTTCTCCTCTGACCTCACTTCTCTTCTCCTGTTGTCTTGTTTTCTCCTCTGACCTCACTTCTCTTCTCCTGTTGTCTTGTTTTCTACTCTGACCTCACTTCTCTTCTCCTGTTGTTTTGTTTTCTCCTCTGACCTCACTTCTCTTCTCCTGTTGTCTTGTTTTCTCCTCTGACCTCACTTCTCTTCTCCTGTTGTCTTGTTTTCTCCTCTGACCTCACTTCTCTTCTCTTGTTGTCTTGTTTTCTCTTCTGACCTCACTTCTCTTCTCCTGTTGTTTTGTTTTCTCCTCTGATCTCACTTCTCTTCTCCTGTTGTTTTGTTTTCTCCTTTGATCTCACTGATCTTTTCCTGTTGTCTTGTTTTCTCCTCTGATCTAACTTCTCTTCTCTTGTTGTCTCGTTTTCTCCTCTGACCTCACTTCTCTTCTCCTGTTGTCTTGTTTTCTACTCTGACCTCACTTCTCTTCTCCTGTTGTCTTGTTTTCTCCTCTGACCTCACTTCTCTTCTCCTGTTGTCTTGTTTTCTCCTCTGACCTCACTTCTCTTCTCCTGTTGTCTTGTTTTCTACTCTGACCTCACTTCTCTTCTCCTGTTGTCTTGTTTTCTCCTCTGACCTCACTTCTCTTCTCCTGTTGTCTTGTTTTCTCCTCTGACCTCACTTCTCTTCTCCTGTTGTCTTGTTTTCTCTTCTGACCTCACTTCTCTTCTCCTGTTGTCTTGTTTTCTCTTCTGACCTCACTTCTCTTCTCATGTTGTTTTGTTCTCTCCTCTGACCTCACTTCTCTTCTCTTGTTGTCTTGTTTTCTCCTCTGATCTCACTTCTCTTCTCCTGTTGTCTTGTTTTCTCCTCTGATCTCACTTCTCTTCTCCTGTTGTCTTGTTTTCTCTTCTGACCTCACTTCTCTTCTCCTGTTGTCTTGTTTTCTCTTCTGACCTCACTTCTCTTCTCCTGTTGTCTTGTTTTCTCCTCTGATCTCACTTCTCTTCTCCTGTTGTCTTGTTTTCTCCTCTGATCTCACTTCTCTTCGCCTGTTGTCTTGTTTTCTCCTCTGACCTCACTTCTCTTCGCCTGTTGTCTTGTTTTCTCTTCTGACCTCACTTCTCTTCTCCTGTTGTCTTGTTTTCTCCTCTTACCTCACTTCTCTTCTCCTGTTGTCTTGTTTTCTCCTCTGACCTCACTTCTCTTCTCTTGTTGTCTTGTTTTCTCCTCTGACCTCACTTTTCTTCTCCTGTTGTCTTGTTTTCTCCTCTGACCTCACTTCTCTTCTCCTGTTGTCTTGGTTCGCTTTCAGTCTGGAGATATTTTCAAATCAGCCGTCACGTGACTGGCAGAAGTTTCATATTTCTCTTAGGTATTCAGTGCTTAATGATTCTCCATGACCTTTCCGTCTGTTGCAGTCTCCCTTTCAGCAAGCGTGTTAGCTGATTCTTTTTCTCTGACACCTGAATGCACAACAACAAAACTTATGACACCATCCAAAACCCACACGACAATCGCTGGCTGCCGGACGGACAAAGACAATACTGGCTGTTGAACTCTCACTCGACAATCGCTGGCTGCTGGACGGACAGAGACAATACTGGCGGGTTGAACTCTCACTCGACAATCGCTGGCTGCTGGACTGACAGAGACAATACTGGCTGTTGAACTCTCACTCGACAATCGCTGGCTGCTGGACGGACAGAGACAATACTGGCGGGTTGAACTCTCACTCGACAATCGCTGGCTGCTGGACTGACAGAGACAATACTGGCTGTTGAACTCTCACACGACAATCGCTGGCTGCCGGACTGACAGAGACAATACTGGCAGGTTGAACTCACACACGACAATCACTGGCTGCTGGACTGACAGAGACAATACTGGCTGTTGAACTCTCACACGACAATCGCTGGCAGCTGGACGGACAGAGACAATACTGGCTGTTGAACTCTCACACGACAATCGCTGGCTGCTGGACAGACAGAGACAATACTGGCGGGTTGAACTCTCACACGACAATCGCTGGCTGCCGGACTGACAGAGACACTACTAGCTGTTGAACTCTCACACGACAGTCACTGGCTGCCGGACGAACAGAGACAATACTGGCTAGTTGAACTCTCACACGACAATCGCTGGCTGCTGGACTGACAGAGACAAAACTGGCTGGATGAACTCTCACACGACAATCGCTGGCTAGTTGAACTCTCACACGACAATCACTGGCTAGTTGAACTCTCACACGACAATCACTGGCTAGTTGAACTCTCACACGACAATCGCTGGCTAGTTGAACTCTCACACGACAATCGCTGGCTAGTTGAACTCTCACGCGACAGTCACTGGCTAGTTGAACTCTCAAACGACAATCGCTGGCTAGTTGAACTCTCACACGACAATCACTGGCTAGTTGAACTCTCACACGACAATCGCTGGCTGGTTGAACTCTCACACGACAATCACTGGCTAGTTGAACTCTCACACGACAATCACTGGCTAGTTGAACTCTCACACGACAATCGCTGTCTACTTTACGGACAGAGACAATACTGGCGGGTTGAACTCTCACACGACAATCGCTGGCTGCCGGACGAACAGAGACAATACTGGCGGGTTGAACTCTTACACGACAATCGCTGGCAGCTGGACTGACAGAGACAATACTGGCGGGTTGAACTCTCGCACGACAATCGCTGGCTGCCGGACGAACAGAGACAATACTGGCGGGTTGAACTCTCACACGACAATCGCTGGCTGGTTGAACTCTCACACGACAATCGTTGGCTGCCGGACTGACAGAGACAATACTGGCGGGTTGAACTCTCACACAACAATCGCTGGCTAGTTGAACTCTCACACGACAATCGCTGGCTGGTTGAACTCTTACACGACAATCGCTGGCAGCTGGACGGACAGAGACAATACTGGCGGGTTGAACTCTCTATCAGCAACATCGATCGTCGTGAGCTTCCTTGCCCACTTGTGGATGTCCTTGGCAATCACATGGTCTCTTTGGTACATATATTTTCTGGTTTGGTTTGGCACCTCGCGAGGGGGGGGGGGAGGTTTAAACCCACTTCCTTGCCAAACAAGAATGTCGCGTCAAACATTTTACTGCACTCAATAAGAAGCTGGGATCCTAGAAAGTCGGACAGATCGGCCTGAGAGGCGAGACACCACCAACAACTTACACGTCAGCCAGATCTGCCTGAGAGGCGAGACACCACCAACAACTTACACGTCAGCCAGATCTGCCTGAGAGGCGAGACACCACCAACAACTTACAAGTCAGCCAGACGTCAGCCAGATCTGCCTGAGAGGCGAGACACCACCAACAACTTACAAGTCAGCCAGATCTGCCTGAGAGGCGAGACACCACCAACAACTTACAAGTCAGCCAGATCTGCCTGAGAGGCGAGACACCACCAACAACTTACAAGTCAGCCAGATCTGCCTGAGAGGCGAGACATTGCCAACAACTTACACGTCAGCGAGATCTGCCTGAGAGGCGAGACACCACCAACAACTTACAAGTCAGCCAGATCTGCCTGAGAGGCGAGACACCACCAACAACTTACAAGTCAGCCAGATCTGCCTGAGAGGCGAGATACCACCAACAACTTACACGTCAGCCAGATCTGCCTGAGAGGTGAGACACCACCAACAACTTACAAGTCAGCCAGATCTGCCTGAGAGGCGAGACACTACCAACAACTTACAAGTCAGACTGATCTGCCTGAGAGGCGAGACACCACCAACAACTTACACGTCAGCCAGATCTGCCTGAGAGGCGAGACACCACCAACAACTTACAAGTCAGCCAGATCTGCCTGAGAGGCGAGACACCACCAACAACTTACACGTCAGCCAGATCTGCCTGAGAGGCGAGACACCACCAACAACTTACAAGTCAGCCAGATCTGCCTGAGAGGCGAGACACCACCAACAACTTACAAGTCAGCCAGATCTGCCTGAGAGGCGAGACACTACCAACAACTTACAAGTCAGCCAGATCTG